AAGAGCTATTTGGCGATACGTACCTTTCGTGTCAAATTAGGCACGACCTACTCTCGAGAATTCTTCCAGGAAAACGGGGTTCCCCAAGGAGGCGTATTGAGTGTCACCCTTTTTATAATAAAAATAAACTCGATAGCCCGGGCCATCCCATCATCCGTACAGTATTCACTTTATGTTGATGATCTTCAGATATCCGTCTCATCCTGTAACATTGCTCTCTGTGAACGTAGGGTCCAATTAGCAGTAAACAATCTGCTCAAGTGGGCTGATCAAAATGGCTTTAGGTTTTCACCAGAAAAAACAGTTTCTGTTTGCTTTTCTCGCTTACGAGGAGCTACAGTAGATCCATCGGTGACCATGCACTCCACTCCAATTCCAACAAAACCGGAGCAGAGGTTCCTAGGGCTTATTTTTGATAGTAAACTGTCCTTTCTTTCTCATATTAGGTATCTTAAGGTAAAATGCCAGAAAGCACTAAACATTCTTAAAGTCCTTTCTCATACCTCATGGGGCTCTGATCGTCTCTGTCTTCTCCGAATTTACAGTTCGGTGGTTCGCTCACGCCTCGACTATGGTAGTTGTGTATATGGATCGGCAAGGCCCTCAGCTCTTCGAATGCTTGACCCCATTCATCACCAGGGATTGCGACTGTCTACAGGTGCATTTCGCACGTCGCCTATCCCCAGTCTTTATGCAGAGACAAATGAATGGTCTCTGGAAAAGCGAAGGTTTGCTTTGGGATTTATGTATTCCCTTCTAATACGTTCACTCACCCTGCATCCTACACGCGAGGCTGTAGAAGAAACAAGATATAAGCGCACCTTTGACAACAAGCCCTCTGTAATCCCGCCTTTTAGTATGATAAATGCAGCTGCAGCTGATTCGGTTGGACTGAGCACTACAATGCCCGTGACCCCCGTACCTCAAGCAATAGCTCCGTGGGAATACAGCCTCATTTTGTGTGACTTTTCACTGACTAAGTTCAGAAAGAGAGACACCCCACCAGAATGTATCAAACAGGAATTTTATGAAATCCAAAGTAGATACGCTGGTCACAGCTCGTATTACACAGATGGCACCAAGACAGAAACGCTCGTTGGATGTGCTATGGTTGGCCCCTCTGTTCGCTACGTTCAACGAATTGCATATACAGCTACTATTTTAACAGCTGAACTATGTGGTATCCGCCTGGCAGTTAATCATATTATAGAAACGAAGAGCATGAAGTCAGTTGTGTATACTGATTCACTCAGTTCATTGAGAGCGCTCTCATCACTAAATACCTCTAAACACCCAATAATCATAGAGTTGCAGAATAAAATCATTAATGCTTCCAAAAGGAACATTAAAATAGTCTTTTGCTGGGTCCCTATCCATGTTGGTATACCGGGTAATGAGGAACCAGACCTTGCAGCCAGTTCTGCTGGTGACAAAGAAGTCGAACTGCATGACATTCCATATATAGACTATCACAGACTTTTAAGGCATCGTATAAGAGAGAAGTGGCAGCAAGAATGGGATGAAGTAAATAACAAGCTGCATACTGTAAAGCCACTGCTTAGTGAGTGGGAGAGTGCAAGACACCGTGAACGCTTTTATGAGGTTGTCCTGTGTCGGCTAAGGATAGGGCATACGCACCTCACCCATGGCCACCTTCTGCGCAGTGAGGAAGCCCCAGAGTGCGAGCACTGCAATAATCCTTTAACTGTCGCACACATATTATTAGAATGCCCTGCTTATGACCTAGACCGACGGAAACATTTTTCTCAGCTATAAAAAAGAACATACGCCTTTAAACCTTCCTATTTTGCTTGGCAACGAACCATTAGTTCCGCATCACAGCGTTTTTAGCTTCTTGAAAGCTATCGGCCTTTTACACCGACTATGATTTTACACCCAACTTCATGTCCATAACTACTTACAAGTCATACACATAATTTTAACCTATCATCAACTACTAAAGTTCTATCCTCTTCGAAACCCTATCTGCAATAGTGTATGTACATGGCGCATCATAGCCTAAGATGCTTTTGCGCCATAAAACCCCAACCAACCAACCAACCAACGCATCGCTTCAAGCACAAAAGCCTAATTTCGCTCGCAGAAACTGATTGCAGGGACATTCATCTGGAGTCCAATTAACCGCCCCTTTATACTGTAGGAGCGGCAGGTAAAGTTACGGCTAGGGAGGGTAAATAGGAACCAAAATAAAGAAAAAACCACACGAGATCAAAGCGGTAGCAGTATATTCATATACCTCCACCGGCGCCGGCGCCTCGTGCCTTCTGCGATGGTCGAGAGGTTAAAGCGCCGGTACTTGTCGTCCCGGCGTGAAGGTTCCGGGTTCAAGTCGCGCTCGGGACTTCTATTTTTTTTTTTTTGTGTGTGTATGTTTTGTGTGTTTTACTTTTTAACTGTGATCCTTTTTAGGAAATCATCCACTTGCACTACAGCGCCTTACGCGGTTTTTACTGTTAGTCCCACCTGTTCAATCGAAACACCGGGAAGAAAAAAAAAAAAGATCAACGCGAGTTAACGCGCTAATACAATCATTTCATAATGTTCATTAAAAGGAAACCAAGGTAAAAGCATCGGTATGGCTTTCACACAAACGGAGCCGAAACAAGCATCCTTTCCCCAGCAACTACAATTTTATCTGTTATTCAATAACGCTCTTGCTACGATTCCTTTCAATAACAAGAGAGGCCTATTTAGGACTAATAAAAACTGCAGTTGTGACAATTAAAAAAAAAGAACTCCAAAAACAAGCAAAAAGAAAAAAAAAAGGACTAGCAACTGTGGATACATTGATTGAGCGAAATCCTACGGGCAAGGCAGCAAGTCAAACGTCTCAGAAAGTAGTAAAACCGAAATAAAAGAGATCATACTTTTACTTGCATGGAATGTGATAAAAAAGTATATTTATAGTCTTTGCATTTTGTTGTGGCAATCGTTTTGTAATATTAACACATTACTTGTTGAATTTTAGTTAGATTAGCAGACGTTCACGACCGAATGCAAAAATGAATCAGGCGTCGACATCGCAAACCCTCTCTCTAATGCAAACACCTAAAATGACTTTGGATCAACAAATGGAATTTATTATAATTAATTCCATTTCTTGATTCAAAGTCATTTTAGGTCCCTCTCTATAATGCAAACACCTAAAATGACTTTGGATTAACAAATGGAATTAATTATAATTAATTCTATTTATGATCCAGTCATTTTAGGTCCCTCTCTCAATGCAAACACCTGAAATGACTTTGGATCAACAAAGGGAATTAATTATAATTAATTTCATTTCTTGATCCAAACTCCAAAGTCATTGTAGGTCCCTCTCTCTAATGCAAACACCTAAAATGACTTTGGATCAACATATGGAATTAATTATAATTAATTCCATTTCTTGATCCAAAGTCATTTTAGGTGTTTGCATTAGAGAGAGGGTTTGCGATGTCGACGCCTGATTCATTTTTGCATTCGGTCGTGATCGTCCGCTATTCTGACTAAAATTCAACAAGTAATGTGTTAATATTACAAAGCGATTGCCACAACAAAATTTAAAGAGTATAAATACACTTTTTATCGCATTCCATGCAAGTAAAAGTATGATCTCTTTTATTTCGGTTTTACTACTTTCTCAGACGTTTGACTTGCTGCCTTGCCTGTAGGATTTCTCTCAATAAATGTATCCACAGTTGCGAGTTTTTTTTTTTTTTTTTTGCTTGTTTTTTGGAGTTTTTTTTTAATTGTCACAACTGCAGTTTTTATTAGTCCTAATAGGCGTCTCTTGTTATTGAAAGGAATCGTAGCAAGAGCGTTATTTAAACACAGATAAAATTGTAGTTGCTGGGGAAAGGATGCTTGTTTCGGCTCCGTTAAAACTGTGTAAGGCGCAGTAGTGCAAGTGGATGATTTCCTAAAGAGGATCACAGTTAAAAGTAAGACACGCGCAAATACAAAAGAAAAAAAGAAGTCCTAGCGCGATTTGAACCCGGAACTATCACGACGCGACAAGTACCGGCGCTCTAACCTCTCGACCATAGCAGAAGGCGCGACGCACCGGCGCCGGTGGAGCTATATAAATATACTGCTACTGCTTTTTTCTCGTTTTCTTTTTGGGGGGGCTTTTATTTACCCTCTTTGGCCGTAACTTTACCTGCCGCTCCTACAGTATAAAGGGGCGGTCAATTGGACTCCAGTTGAAAGTCCCTGCAATAAGTTTCTGAGAGCGACATTAGGTTTTTGTGCTTGAAGCGATGCGGATTTCTCCGCCATTAGGCAGGGACGCTAGGTACTTCCTTGTCCCCTTGGAGCTGGTCACGTGACGTAAAAATCCCTCTTGGCCGCGGCCGCGGCCGCAGCCGCAAGATGAGCAAACCGGCCCAGGGGTTTGTGTAGGTTTATGTCGACATGGGGATTTTGGTACCGGACACAATCCTGGGGAACCTAGCCCTGAACAGCTCCGCTGGAAAAACATTTTGGGGCATTAATTTTTAAACCTCAAAATATTTGGCACGCATTAGGGAATAACCGGAGCACTGATGTGGACCCGCTAGATTCCTTAGAAACCGAAATTATAGTTACTCGGCAGGGGCACCGTGGTCGACCCTTCAACCGGCCCGAGGTCCCCATGCACTTAACCAAGAGAAGAGGTCTGAATGAGTGAACGAAAATTATGTGTGTTCTGAAGAGGTAAGGTTTCCTCCGCATTCGACTGTTCCGCGGACTTATCTCCTTTGAGCACATATTCCTGGCGAACTTCTCTCCGGCGAGCTGTCCCGCGTATGTCGTTTTCTAAGTTTTTCTTTTTTCTTTCGTAAGGCGCTTGTCCCACCCAGATGTTCAGAACAGTGTTCTTTCTTTTCCTTAACCTGTCCAACAGACACGATTGCGGCGACAGGGAGAAAAAACTTGGTCAGCGTGTTTGCGGAATGACAGGTGACGTGCCGACGGGGCCAGTGAAGACGACGTCGCCCCCTCCATCGCGACGTCGTGGAGACCTGGCGAGTCGTCGAGGTCTCGACGTCGATACAGGCTCCGACAACGGTGGACTCACGCCAGGGTCCACGGCCACCATGACGTCCTCGCGGAGAGGTAAGAGCTTTCCTTAGTGGAGGCCCTGTGTGGGTGCTGCCTTCGCCGCGTCGATCGATAACTTCCCATACGTGCGCACTCAAAGAGAAAAAAATGCAGCGACCTGTATTTTTAAAGACCTGTAAAGCATCAAATGCATGCAGTATTTAAGAAGCCAATGTCTATTTTTGTTCAGAAGACATCAAACAGTTGTTTCAGAATATAACAACCTATATTTTTTTATAAATTTTCCCCATTACTTTTGTCGGGGAAACCGAACTAGCATTACGCGGCGATAGTAATGAATAACTTTGTGTTCTACTAAACCCCACGCGGCAAACAAGACGTCGAAGAAAGCATGGCCTGCGCCCGCGTTCGTCACCGGATCCGCCGCTTGGCGGTGAACGTTCGGTCGGCCCAGTGACATGCGTTTCCCCCTCGATTAAACTTCGCCCCTACTTGACAGTGAGAACGTCTTCTCCACGGTGTGTGCGTGCTCAATGGTTGGACGATTCTCAGGGAGCTGTCTTCTGTCGTGACAGTGGCCGTAAAAGCGTAAAACTCGATGTGATCATCGTTGGCGCTCCCCGCATGCTGAGATACCTAAACGGAAGTTATCACGATTAAAATAAGAACACCGACTTCACATAACAAGAAAAACAACTTCATTAAACGTTTCGCCTCCCATGCGGGAGGCATCATCAGTACATACACAGGAATGAGAGTGCTTCGGTCAACGCAGTCCTATTTATCGGGAAGGTCCATATAAGCTTCCGGGAGGGGGCCACGGCTCTTGTTGCACGCCGTCTTATCTCCGCGGATGAACCATGACTCAAGTAGTTTGCGTGGGCCCCACCTATCCTCCTTCGCCAAGGTCGTCGCGGCTGTGAAGTCAAAGGTGTGTCCTGTGGTCCACGCGTGGTCGATCAGCTCCGTCTTGAGACGGGTGGCGTTCGTGGAATACTTGACATCACGTTGGTGTTCTTTCATCCTGGTTATCTTCTTGCGTCCGGTCTCCCCAATGTACGAAGAGCCGCAGTCCTGGCAGGGGATCTAGCAAGCATTGTGTCTAAGCCGAAGGACCCCACCCCTGCGGATACGGAGAAAGGCATTATGTACAAGATCCCCTGCCAGGACTGCGGCTCTTCGTACATTGGGGAGACCGGACGCAAGAAGATAACCAGGATGAAACAACACCAACGTGATGTCAAGTATTCCACGAACGCCACCCGTCTCAAGACGGAGCTGGTCGACCACGCGTGGACCACAGGACACACCTTTGACTTCACAGCCGCGACGACCTTGGCGAAGGAGGATAGGTGGGGCCCACGCAAACTACTTGAGTCATGGTTCATCCGCGGAGATAAGACGGCGTGCAACAAGAACCGTGGCCCCCTCCCGGAAGCTTATATGGACCTTCCCGATAAATAGGACTGCGTTGACAGAAGCTCTCTTATTCCTGTGTATGTACTGATGATGCCTCCCGCATGGCAGGCGAAACGTTTAATGAAGTTGTTTTTCTTGGTATGTGAAGTCTGTGTTCTTATTTTAATCATGACATCTCCCGGCTTTTGGACTATTTTTCCAGGAAGTTATCACGGTCGACAGATGGTCAACAAGTGCTCCCGTCTAGAATGTAAAGATCAGTTGTTGTTGTTGTTGTTGTTTTTTTTGTTTTTTTTTTTTTGGGGGGGGGGCAGCAAATGTAAATTAAACGTTGCTTTATATTAGATGTAAGGAATGCAAGTATACTATGTGCATATTAAACTTAATCGCGGTTTTAGTGTATGCGCGTAACGACTTTGCCAACTCTGCTCCATCGCTTTTGTATGAAAGCTTTTGCACGTCACCTTTGCAGCTGGCCTGTTTCTTCGAATGCAATTCGCGGTAGACGGCGTTGTTTTATTAGGGGTTGTCTTTATTGTGTATGAAGAGTGTAGAAACGTATTGGTCGAAGTGGCTATCGCTACTGCGCCTGGAGTTCGCTCGATTCTGAGTCTAGCATAAGTATATTCCTAGCGACTTGAAATTATGCTGTTCGACGCCAAATATAGTGCTATGAAATCAGGGACTGGTTCCTTATTATTTTTGTACCAGTGTACGAGGATTGCATATGAGTGCAATGTTTGGCCGTGCGTAATGCACATAATATTCGTAGTACCAAACAAAATATATGCGAATGATTCGGGGCTTCTGTATAGTTATTCGTTTTCGCAGAGCGGCAATGTTGATACCCAATTTCGGTCCACCTTTTTGCAACATGAGCATAAACAAAGTAAAGAAGATTTGAATGATGTTCACGAAACTGATATGGTCTTAGCCCGCATGTCTGGTTCGTTGTTTCGAACGTTTCGAGCGCAAAGAGCGCGTGTGCACAATCATGAGAGATATCGTCACTCACGACGCCGAAGCTTAGTGTTCCCTTCGTAGTAGTCGCAACGCAGGTGAAGATTGTCACCATCTTGCTTTTCCAGTGGTATCCCTGCACTGCTCGTTGGAGCACAACCCTACCGAAAAATCCGGTATAACTTTTCGCTATCCGGATTATGGAACCGGAAATCTATCTGGATTCTATCCGGATTCTATCCGGATTCTATCCGGATTCTATCTGGAATTTATGTTTTCAGAAATTATTCCTTTGTCTGCAATCTGGATTTCGGGTTTCCAGAAAGAAATTTCCGGTTTCATAATCCGGATAGTGAAAAGTTATACCGCATTTTTCGGTAGGGATTAATACTCCAGTATTCGGCGAAATCAAAGTGTAGGATACAACACGTGGCTTCACATTTGCTTTTTCAAGCCATATTGCTCTCCGTTATGCGCGCCGAATATAATAGTGGGGTATGTATTTCTTCGTCCATTTTTTGAGCTCGCTAAGAAAAGTAGTGGCCTCCAAATGTTTTTTCACCAACTCGCCACAAGATTTCCACAATGCCAACTCCAGTTCATCTTCAGCGCTCATCCCTAGCATCTTGAGGGATCCTTCCGTTTCGAACAGGCCTCACATCCAATTGCAAGAAGCAGTTTTGGGAAGGATTTTCACAAAGAAAATGTTTCTGGACGTCTTCAAAGCTCATGGTCTTCCCCGCCGCATTTGACAGAGACGTCAGACAGAGTATGAAGTTGGCGCGGTATACACACACACACTCGTTTCTTAACCCACTTGAGCCGAAGAGCATAAAATATTCTTAGGCCCATTTTTGATTCGGAATTGGCCGCCTTGAATTCTTTGTAGGTTCCCTAATAGATCTCGTCATAAATTTCTTCCTGACGAAGACTTCCTGAACAACAATTAAAAAAACCTTAAGAAATTGACCTTTGTCTTGAGCAGTCTTTCGCATCTAATGTGTAGTAAGTCAACGCAACAGCGACATCGTTTTCGTTGAGAGCATGTCCTTGGTATGGGTCAGGCGTCGCCCAGACCCCCATTTCTTTCTTCAGTTCTCTAGATTTGTCCAAAGCATGCTTCGTGACTTCGAGAACTTTTTTCGGGATATCTTTCTTTTTGAGGTTAGGCGGAAAGAGAGTTAAGAAGCGGTAGCGTTTTAGCTGCGACGCGCTTTTGAGGTAGGCTGCTCGTAAATTGCTGACCCAGTCGGAGCACGAGGAGCATGGATCTTCTTTGTCTGTGCCCGTTGGTTCTCTGTACGCGTCACTTAGTTTCCGACCAATTTTCTTTTGGAAGTTCGCGGTTATCTCGGATTGTTTTCGCTTAACACAGCCGGTACGACTTCGTGGCGTTACGCTAAAGGGAGTAGTGGTGTTACACTTACTTCGGCAGCATCAATTGCTTCAGACACTCCTTGGACCGAGGCTTCCACGTCAACGAATGATCTGTCCGCTGGTTTCAGGGATGGTGACGATGAGCTTCATTACAACATTTCCTGTCCTTGCTTATGCTCTTTAATCTGACCCAAGAGCATTGTGTAGCAGTTATTGCACAAAGCATCTTCAGGGCTTACGCGCTGGACGTCCCCAGCCGGTAGAACTTGCTTAGGAAAACTTAGGCCAAGCTCCGAGGCGTGACGAAAATGGCGTCTATAAAACAATTTTTTCTTGTTTCTCCTTGAATAGTCGGCGCACGCTTTCCGCTCTGAACTGAATACTGTATTAGCCATGGTAGTAACGAACACTTCTGGCTTTCTGGAAGCAGGAGCAGTTTGAAGTTCATCAAGCTCGGACAGCACGCAGGTAGATTGAGTAGGTGCTTCCCGCCGTGGCTTAGGAATTCAAGAAAAGAACCAGAAGGAGACCGAAAAGACTGTTATCAGTTCGACGACACGCGAAGATTCGGCTTCCTTTGGGTCCCCAATCTTCCCGTCGATCCAGGCACAAACATTAGCTCCCCACCTCGCGCGTAATCTGAGTGCCACGCAGCAGCTCTTTTTCGTTTTACTTTTTGTTACCGTAAACCTGACTTCAACCTTTAACCAAGTTCAAGTACAGACCGTTCGGCATGCGTTTTTCTCGTTTGCGGGAAACAAAACATAAGCCCGCACTTCCTTTCTTTTCCCCCTAATACAGGTCAGCGAGGCGACCTCCATTAGTGCCCGCGAATGAGTGGCACCGGTGTGTTAGAAAGACGAGGAGGCGAGCTGGGAGAGAGGGAGGGGGGCTTGCGACGTAAACTCGAGCCTCGAAATGCCTGTTCTCCCGACAATCAGGGTTTCCTTGTCGGTCGCACCCAAAGGCATAATCCTGACTGTGGTGGCATCTGTAAAACCTCAAAGCTGAAAGCAAAACGCCTCAGAGGAATTCTCTAACGATGTGCATTCCCCCGTATTAAAAGTAAGTAAGCGCTGGCGCCCGCACCTCTGGGTACGGACTTCTAGGTAACTTTTTTTAAGTGCACTACTCCAAATTTCATTAATGTTTATGGTTGGATATTGAGGGAACTGCTAACGATAAATAGAAAACCTTAAATAGGCCAAAACTCCACTCAGCAGAGCGCCTGTGCGAAGTCCCGTTCAAAACGCTCATAGCACGAGATTCGAGTCTTAATAGCGGCCATATGAACAATATATTACAATTTATGTAGGTAGTTCTTGGTAGACTACTTTATTGCCTAACTGCGAATAAGAATAAAATAATAGAAGGTGTTTTTTTTTTTTTTTAAATCGACTCCAAACTTCCTTTTCCTTTTCAAAATATTCGTTTTTTGGGCACATGTTGCGCATTATATATTTAGCGCAAAATATTCCAATTATATTCAAACAAAAGACCCTAATTGGAGATTTATTGTTATGTACAGATCATAAAAATATGTTGATTAGGTCACACAGCACAGCTTGCTGAACTTTGTCAAATATCGTTGCAGAGAGGCGGTTTGACAATTAAAAAAATCAAAAACATTAAGGATCTTATGACCTGGACGCTTAATTAGCATAAAAAAGAATATCTCGGGATGTGTTCCCAAAAAGGTATATTGATGTAGCGTAAGAAGTAGGGGAAAGGAATGAAGTCAAATATGGCACCCCCGATAAGCTGGAAAAACGTCAGTTTCCACCTTGGCCGCTTCAACGGTCCATAACTTGAGAACAAAAAATCCGACGAACTCGCTGTTTGCGTCTTCTTTTATTATAGGAATTGCCCAAGAGCACGTATTTTTTACAATAATTAAAATTCGATTCAACATCCGTGCCTGAGTTGAGATGAAATCACACACACACACACACACACACACACACGCACGCACGCACGCACGCACGCACGCACGCACGCACGCACGCACGCACACACACACACATATATATATATATATATATGTATCATTGACAGTTTTTCATGTTGTAGAGTGGTTTGTTTGATCCTCAAGATATGTATCGGTGCCATTAACGGCCATAATACCGACGGACTCGTAAAATGTTATCGATTGCCTTGCAGTAGAGTTGTTATCCCTACAAACCCAACCAATGCCAGTACTGCCTTTTCTGATAGGTGTGTAAAAATTTCTTAGTAGAATGGCACGAAGATTTCTGGTAAAACAGCACCGAAGCGCCACGTGGAGCGTTCGCTCGTTTTGAACTCTCCTGAACGTATACCAATTACGAGCGTCCTAAGCCTATTTGTAAGTCGGTTTCGAATCGTTTGTGCCAGTAAAAAAAATAATAGGACTGATTCCGGGCGTTGGGATTTTTTCGCGTGAATCAAAAGGGTGACCCTGATCCCACCGAAACACCTTTACGACAAAATTACCTGGATCCAGATTGCCTGTGCGACCAGTCGCCCCGTGACAAGTTTTCCGGTGACGAGTGGGAATGAGACGAGTGGCCCGGTTTTCGCTCAGACATAACTTGGAAAACACAAAAATGACGGTAGTACCTTTATCTCCAAAGTCCTATAGTACAAAAGGCAACATTCAAGGAGCGATCATTCAGTTTCCTGATAGAAGGCATTAAACAGTCGGTTTGGGGACTGAAGACTATAAACCTTTTTTAGAAAACCCGAGAACAGTGTGTCTCGGCATGGTAACCATGGCAATACTTAGGCGGTTCAGCAGCTGCGTGCCACGGTGAAGGAAAGCAGGTCGGAACGTCGCTGTGCGCCAATCGAGCTTTAGGCACTCAGTGTCAGTGAAGATACGAACACACTGCTGTTTCGCGGTCTGCGCTCAGTATGGATACACTGACAAATACGAATGGAATGTAGTACGTATATATTCATATCGGACATTCCGCTGCCGCGGCCGTTTGGCTAACCTCACGAATTTGCGTGCATTTGCTTAAAAAGGTTAATATACTGGTTCTGCATTATACTGCTTTGTGTTTTCTTTACTATGGCTGTTAGACAGACACGTTTGACGCAGAAAAACAATCGTCGGTTTCACCCAGTGCATCCGCTGCCATTCGGCCAGCCTCACAATTTTGCAGGCAGTTGCTTAATATACTACATTGTTATTTCATTGTACCTTTACTTCGTGTTACTCGATAGATAGATATCGTTGGCGTGGCTAAACGAGCAGTCGAATTCGCGCACCAGTCCTACGGACGTTTTCTGCTCTTTAACAAACTGCGCGTGTCAAACGAAAAATAAAAATAAACTTTTTCCCACAGACGCGTTTTTCGAAATTTTGTTACTTTTACTGAAACATCCACTAACACCATGTTGCTTTATGCTTCCATGTAGCATTGGGACAGAACCGCATTAAGTTCCCCTTGAGGGCATCTTTTTTATGCAATTTTAGTTGGCTAGACACTTTGTGGACTCCAATTATGACTTGCAGACACATCAATATGAGAGCTCTGTTTTCAGGTTTCATACCTTTCAAGCTAGCTAGCAAGGTTATTTTCCCAGCCGGCGATGGAAAAGAAAACTGCGTTACTCGCATTTGCATTGTCGTTTTTTCACGAAGAGCCAGCGGGCCCAAGAAAAAACATTCCTTCACCATGGAGAGCGCGCACACTGTTGCTTGCCGGTGGCGCACGGAGATGTCACGTTTTCGAAAGGGGTATGTTTTAATTAAGTATATAGTTCACGTGACGTCCAATTTTCCCGCTAAGTTTAGCGAGGAAACTGACAGTGCATAAATCACGTGACATCAGTTTTTACGTGAAATTTAGCGGGGAAACTGCTTGGTACCTAGGTGACGTGGTAACATCACATGATGTCAACTTCCCCCGCTAAATTTAGTTGGAAATGCAGAGGCGGACGGACGAACAGCATTTAAAATGGGGGGTTCCGTTAAAAAGCATTTCACGCTTTAACACATACATTAAGTAAGATAGTCGCTATCCGTCATGCCCGGTGTAAAGCAGCTGAAATCGCACCAGCATTGCAATGACGAAGTTCAGACATTTCGCTTGCAAATTAAGCAAAGTCATCATGGCTGACCATTCCTTGCAAAATATTGCAGGAGCTTCTAGGGCCAGTGACGAGTACTCCCAATCCATTGCCACATCTCGGAGGTCAACGTCCAAGCGTTTCTTGTCGCATGACTTCAAAATCGAAGAGCTCAGAAACGAAATCAAAGACTTGGAACGAAGGCTTAAGGTAAGCACCAAACTTGCGGACAGCATATATAGTCATGCCCCCACTTGGCAATGCACTCCAGGAAAGCATAAAATATATAATCTGTTCCTTAATGACCTTGCTATGTTTCCTTAAGAAAAGTCTAAAAAGCACTATGTACGAACATCCAATGAGTGATTTTGTTTCGTAAGTGTTCATATTTCGCCTTCGGAAGTTCAATAACTATAAAATATATGCTTAACTTACATAAACATCAGCGAGGGTTAGATATTCGTAACTAGTATGCTGAAGCATGCGAAACGCCGAAAAGCTTACAATACTTACAAACTGATTAGAGCTCCGTTGGTACGTTTTTCGGGGGAAGCGGTAAAAACGCAGCAAGTGTGGAGACGTACCGATAGCACTACTGAGAGAGGGAGCAATTCTCACACAACAATTCATTTCGTGTGAACTTACATGGGGGAGGGGCTACCATATTCAAGTATATGCCCTGATATATCTTTTCTCGAAACTGTTCTTTAAAATCAGGGACCAACCTATAATCAAGAATGTTAACAAACCAGAGTGTGCAAAGTTGTCACAATTATATTGTAATGTACTTAGAGTTCTACACAATGACTTTTGACTGAGAAAATAAAGCAACCAGTACATGTAAGCATGTTTACCGTGCGATTTTTGTGCGCGATTTTTCATCATGTTCAACCAGTACATGTAAGCATGTTGACTATTAATCTATCACAAAAAAGTGATGAGTCCTGTAACAATCAAGTTGAATCAACGTGTTAAAAATTTGCGAAGTGATCCCGACTAAGGGATAAAAACAAGAGCTAATATAGTTTTTTCAAAGCCAAACAAGGAATGATTTGAGTCATGCTTGCAATCTGAACAGTAAATGAATCAGAAATAAAGAACTCCTCACTGGTTAAAATATTAGGCATGTAACAAATTCACTCCCCTGTAAGGGTGGAGGCCTCCACCCTTACAGATCCCTATATTATATTTTAAAGCAACGTCTTGTAAAGAAGATTAGATGCTAGCCTTCAGAAGTTTTTCTCTTACTAACAAAAGGCTCTTGCAACTTTTGCATGGACAGGAATCCGAGTATGAGAATAAGGCACTCCAAAGGATCCAGACGCGACAGGAGCGAGAACTCCTCAAGACAGAGTCTTCCAGGTTCGATGGGTCAAATGTGATCAAGTCTCACGTAGAAGAGGTTCGCGCATTGCGCAGTCTTCTCAATGAGAGCAGGGACAAGCAAAGGCAAGTCTTACAATTTTACATACCATTCCGTCAACTTGACGCATTTAGCCAAATAGACTAAGTTCGCTAATGTCTATCCATTAGCAGGAATCAGAGCAATTTAGTTATTCCGAGTGCCCTACACATGAGCGTGCTGGTCTGGAAACATTCACTATGTGGAAATGACAACTCTGCTTGCAGAGCCAGCGGACCTACACACGGTGAAAGCTATGAGGAGCTCCTCCTAAAAACTGGCAAACCGAAAAGATGCCCTACGATTATTTTTCACAATGATTATAGATAAATACCAACAATACTCTATTGTAGGTTTGAAAAAGCTGCATCAAGGAATGTGTGTGGGGACTACCATTCAACCAGGCCTGCTCCGTGTTATACAAAGCCACGTGTAGATACCTTACTTTTGATCGTGACCCAACGCATGAGCATCACATGTCACTCAGCTTGTGGCATGACTGTTCATAGGGTGTTATGTAGCTTGTCATGCCCTATGAGCAGAATTAATAAGATGGCAGTCCCAAGAGTGGGAAGGTTATTGTCAGAAAAACCATAGAAACTGTTTACCTGTGACATCCTTCTGCTCTGTTTTTGGATTGGCCACAATGATTGTCTCATGATTTGGGTTCGCTTTACTGCCATATTTACCGGCATAATAGCGATAGTGCTTGTGAACAATGCATGCAGACCTACTTTTTCACAGAGTAGGAGAATATCCGATCATTGCAAACTGTACTGTCGCAGACAATATGAAAAAGCCCAGACGAGCACGTGGCTCCGATGACCTCCAGTGCTATCTAACGGAAGAGAGCTGAGTTATCAGGCTATTGTTTGAACGAGCGGCATTTCAGCGGCTGTTCGACTTCTTCCATTACTCCCCACTTGGTCGGCAAACGACTGCTGAATCAACACCGATGGTGGTAGGACTCGGGAGGTGCGTGTGTGTGTGTGTGCGTGGGGGGGGGGGGGGGGTAAAATATCGTCACTTATTCAGCAAACTTATTATCAAACGCCCGAAAACTGTTCACTCAACCACTGATCTCTACTATGGGCTTTAGCTGATCTCCGAGCCTGGCGCAACTGAAGCCACCGGAAGCTCGATACTTGTGCCGGAAGTCGGGGGTGCGCTGGGCTTCCTAGTGCATTCAGTCGAAATTTTGTCTATGCTTTTTTGTGTCTTTGAATGGGTTTTGATACTCTCGTTCTGAATTAAATCCCGAGAATAAGGCATTTGAACGTGGGACATACGCACCCAACTAGAATCTCAAAATTTTCACATCGAATGGCTTCCTAAGAGACTTCTCGGGTCCGCATGCACTGTTACTCTGCAACAGGCAGGCTCTCTTGGGATGACAAGAAAAAAGCCAACGCCCTGAACACTGTTTGAACCAGCACTCGGGAGAGTTGAAAAACCTATCAAGCGCTTACTTCCGGGACAAGCCGCTTACTTCCGGTGGCTTAAAAATTGTCTGCTCAATGCACCATCCAGCCCCTTATAGTGGAGATCAGTGCACTCAACCTGCCGACCGGGTGGATTTAGCCATGCCTGACTTTGCCTTTTTTGCCAGAACGCCTCTATATTCGGCAAAATCAGCATTAACTCAGCGACAGCTGGTCAAGCGGGGAGTGGCAATAAAAACTGTACAGCCGCTGAAGCCTCGATGATGGTACAGCTTTCTTCTAATAAATAGCGCAGCAGGACTTGTAAACCACGCACACGCATGGGCTGTTTCGCGTCGCCTGCGAATGTACTACCATAGTTTATTCTATACTCAAAAAGCCTGGCATGCAGTTCGACGACGGAGCAAGTGCCCGGTCGCAGATTTGGAGCCATTTATTGAGGAACCTGGACGTCAGCGCACAGCTTTTGCAGCGGCGAGGACACGAAACAGACTTGTTCGCTCGGTAGAAGTGTGTTTCGGCGTCGGCGCCAGTCTTGTGGCTCTCCTTTCATGTCTGCCGCTCCACCTTTTCCATTTTTGCAGCCGCTTCTCGTGGCGATCTGCCAGGCTTTGTCAGTATATAGGAGGCTATGGTACTACAAAGAGTCTCATAAATGACAAGGCAGAGGCTCTTTCATAAATAATTCAACCTGCGCTGTACACTGAGCATGACATGCAACATACATAGCGTTCAACATAGATTTAATTTTGAGAAACAAATGTTTCTCCACCTGGCTCACTTGGCTTGTTGTTGTGATTGCATTGATTGTCAATCCGTGTGTTACGCTGGTAAGCATGAAAAGTAAATATAGCATTTTGAAGCATGCACGTTTTTTCTAAACTTGCTGGCGACATATACTATGCATGCTCGCCTGCCTGGGATGTTTCTGTTAGCTGATCTAATGATCTCTAGATGTGTGTAAGAGGGAAAGCAATTTGCATGTAGTGCTTCTGGCTTTTGCTTTGCCAGGAAACACAAACTTAACATCATGTGTGGCCTTTTTTCTATTAAAAACGCGATCAAAATATCATAGTTTGCCCCTTTTCCTGACCAATCTGATGTCTTTGCAAACATCAGATTGGTCAGATCTCAGTAAAGGGGTGTGTTGCAATGTTTGATTGCATTTTTAACAAGAAAATGATATCTAGTGCCTTTTTATGTAAGCCTTATTACGCAAAAGCACTTGCATACAAAAAGTTAAATGACTTGTTTCTTTGGCCATAATATAGTTGAATTTAATGGTTTCTCGAGCGTCCTGATAAATGGATCAGCCCGCAAAAGGCTTCATTTTACTGTGCTAAATGCCTCGCTACTTTATTTCAACATATTTGCCAAAGCTTGCTTGGAATCTTGATAGACGGGCTGTCAAAAGATGCTTGCCCAACATGCAATACTCTGGCCATTGCAGGGAGTATGAAAAACGACTTCACTATCGTAACTGCGAACTTCTGAAGTTGAAACAACAGCTGGCAAATGTTCAGCAGGCTGTGCAAGAACGAGGCATCCTGGTCGAAAAGGAAGTAGAGTCAGATGAAAAACTTAGGCAAGTTGAACAAAAACTCCAGGAAAAAGACACAGAAGTTCAGGTAAACATCAGAATCCATAATTTCTTTGTATTGGTGAAAGTGTCCTAGCCTTAGGAAGCTACTAGTGTTTACACTCCTAAAACAATTAATAAAAATATAAATAAAAACAGTCAAGATGAGAGAACACTGATTAATATGAGCAGTAGTAATATGGTAAAAGAAAGAAATAATTAGTCAAGAAAATATCGATGTTATTGACCCAATTACTGGTACTACAGGGTGCTTCCCGGAACGTCGGCCAAATCGTTCCGGCGAACATCAACTGCTTTTGTGTGTGTGTGTCTGATATGTAGTGCATCTTTCACACACCAAAAAGTTGATGTATTGGTCTCCGCGAAAGAGTCTATTCTTTAGAAAATTAAATAAACTTTTCAATTACTACATACAAAGGTTATAACATTTTTAGTTATTCAATTGATGAGCATCGCCTAAAATTACTAACTCACTTTACAAAGATGCTATAAGCTACGTGCGGCATTATACGGCATACCAACCAAATGGGGAGACGTTTCTAAACTCCGTTCACTCCTAAGCATGGCAGCGGGGCAGCGACTACGCGCTTGCCGGACCAATCAACCGCTTACTTCACATCACGTGACCCAGGTCTCTCTGCACGTGGGTCTGGGCGGGAGCTGGACAACGAGCTTGAGTAAACTAAGAGCGGTAAACCAGCAGCCAAAAATGGCACCCCCCCGGTTGCCGCCATTTTGCCTGTTTGCCGCATTAGTGATCACGTGACGTTAAGATGGCTGCGCCTAGAGGTGGGCCAGATCAGATTGGTCAGATCACGGTCAGCAGATGGGCCACTCTGGGGCTGCGTTCAAATCTTACTCGAATGGCTCAAATGGATCCGAGTTACTCCGGCGGTTCAAGTCACGTGACAGGACAGATACAGAAATGCTGGACGCGGGTAGGTTTTCGAACGTAACGGGTGCAAGACCTTTACCCAAGAGTGAGATAGAGTACATTTTGGAACAGGGCCGCCTGGATGGGGACCGAAACCGAACTGGCCGAACCAAGCAAGCAGGTGCGAGCTGACCGAGCCCGGCTGGCGCGGACGGCGGTGCGAAATAGCATTGAACCGCGATGATCGTGCTGTGGGAGAATGGTAAATTTCCATGTGTGCCATGTTTGGCAAGGCAAGCGATGAACGAATAGGACTGGATATGCACGTATCGCACAAGATCTGACCTGATTCGGGCACCGACGCGTGGACCCGATCCGAGAAGGAATGCGTGAGAGCTCTCTCACGTATTCTATCTCTGCGTATCTTTCCTTGAGAGCCATGAACATTTCACTGGTCGAGTGCAGCGAGAATGCAAAACTTTCATGCGAGATATCCACGCGATGTTTGACATGTACGATCGATTCCCTCGGATCGGTTCCCATACCTGGTCAGATCTTGTGCGATGCGTGCATGCCCGGTCCTATTTGTTCGTCGTCTGCCTAGCCAACCATGGCACACATGGAGATTTACCATTCTCCCGCAGCACGATCATCGCGGTTAAATGTGACTCAACCGCCGTCCCCGCGCCAGCCGCGCTCGGCCAGCTCGCACCTGCTCGCTCGCTTCGGTCCCCATCCAGGCGGCCGTGTTCCAAAATTCACTCTGTCTCACTTTCGGGTAAAGGTCTTGCACCCGTTGCGTTCGAAAACCTACCCGCATCCAGGATTTCTGTATCTGTCTTGTCACGTGACTTGATCCGCCGGACTAACTCGGATCCATTCGAGAAGATTGGAACACAACCCCAGATGTCCCGTCTGCTGACCGTGATTACCGTGATCTGGCCAATCTGATCCGGCCCACCTCTGGGTGCAGCCATCTTAACGTCACGTGATCACTAATGTGGCAAACAGGCAAGATGGCGGCAACCGGGAGGGTGCCATTTCCGCTGCAGGCCGTGGGTTCCGGTCTACCGCTTTAAGGTAATACTCAAGCTTGTTGGAGCGAGATCACATTTCCAAGGATAGCCGCAAGACTGGACCAACGAGCAAGGGTTCCAGTTTCCTATCGGAGTGCAACTTTACACCAACGGTCCTGATCTTTATGACTAAATCGCGCAATTAACGTGTGCCACCCTGCGTTCCTCGCACGAAGGTGGTGAAACTCAGATTCAAAGATTATTCTTGTAATATCATTCAAACGGCAACACATCTAATTTTGCCATTTCTTCTCTCCTATAAGGGAGGTGGTGCAGTGGTTGCATTCGGATACGAAACTGAAATATAAAAATGCGTCTAAACTGAGCATTTTTTTTGGGGGGGACACCGCAAAATATGCACGTGCGGGCTGATTTCACGGTTTAGATTGACGTCCAGAAAGTTTGTACTTAAAACAATACCTTTAAAATTGCTCATTAGAAAGTTAATTATTCAAAAGTAATTAATGAGCGGTAATCATACTTAACATTGTTTTAAGTTTCCCAAATAGGCTCTTTAGTACTTCAGAAGAGATTAATACAAAATAAAACCTTTTTTTTCTGTGCAACACATACTTTTCGCAAAAAAAGATTTACATTTTTTCTATGCGACACATATACTTTTTGCGGGAACAATTTAGCCGGCATTCCGCAAAACGCCCTGTAGATTCGCCTCTTGTATCCACAACAGGAGCTCAGACGTAAGTTGGACACCGTCCAGAGTGCTTACAAGAAGGAGCTGGCCCAAGAAAAGAATCACAGCAAAGACATTCAGAAGCAGCTGCATGCACTTTCAGCTGAACATGAAATGCTCCAGAAGAAAGTGAGTGTGAGTAAAGGATGGTTATTTTATGTGTTCCCGAATTACCACTTTTCGATAGCTACGTAGCAATCTGGTGAAGGCCTAGCTTAAGATAGAAGATTTAAATTTAGCTCCACCCAATTCAAGCGAACAGAAATCTTAGTGACAGTACTCTAAGGGACCTGGCGAAATTGTTCTATAAGTTCCACCTGTATATGTTCTATTCAATGAGATCCCAGTGTATTAAAGAATGGAATGCTCTTCAACGCTACGCCAATCTGAAAATTTCGTCCGTCCCTTCGTCCATGCATTTCCTGCTAAATTTAACCGGCAAACTGAATTGGTGTTTAGGTCACGTGCTGTCATTTGATGTCACGTGACCTGACGTCACGTGGCCTAGACACCATTAATTTTCCCCGCCAGAGTCCGCGGGGAAAATGTCATGTGACCTATGCACCAATTCAATCTCCCTGCTAAATTTAGTGCGGAAATTAACGTCACGTGACTTATACACCAATTCCCTTAACCCGCTAAGTTTAGCGGAACATTTATTATCGCAAGACAATATCGGGACCTAAACACCAATTTTGTTTTCACCTAAATTTAGCAGAAAAATTGACGTTTTCCCTGATAAATTTGGCGGGAAAATCACTGTCATACGACCTAAATGCCTTCAGTTTCTCCGCTAAATATAGCGGGGAAATTTACGTTACGTGACCTGAGAACACGTGAGATTTACATCAATTCAATTTTCCCACTAAATCTAGCAGAAAAATCGACGTCATGTGACCCATACACCAATTTAGTTTCAACGCTGAATTTAGCGGGTAACTTAACGTCACATGACCCATGCACCCAATTTACCCGCTCAATGTAGCGGGGAAATAAATAAAAATGAAAGTCCTTGTTCACTCCTTTAAACGACGATTTAATATCTTCTAAACAATTTCAAACTATCACACCTTAAAGGGGCTGTGCAACAATTCTCGGACTTCAGGTCGATAGGTGTGGGAGTTAATCCCTACCACCCGTTGAATATGGAACATAAAACAGTTTTTCGATACGTGCCCTAGTTTGTTTTGTTTTTTAACAAAATAAAAACACATTGAAATGTGGGCCCCACGCGGCCACTCTCAACTCTCACATCGTCTTTCCGGTAATGTGGTTGTCACGTGGTTGTGACGTTTAATGAGGAGGTAGGTTTCCGGATTCGCAGGCGCTTTGGCTCGGACCTCAGCGAGCGTTGCCATGGTTGCCAGCGTTGAAAGAAGGACGAACAAGATGGCATCTTGGAAGAACGGACTGAGCGAGATCGAGCGTGAGATGTTCGTCTTTAGCGGGTCCGCTGGACTCGTTCCCTACGCGGGCACCCCGACGGAACGGGGGCGCGGCGCCGATGAGCGCGACGACTCTCCGCCCGATCCTGGCCCTGATCCAGACGCATGGCGACTTACCACCACCATGCAAGCATGTGTCAGCATGTTTAGACGCGCGATGACAAAACGTAAAAAAAAACTACAAGGAAAAAAAAGTATGCAGCTCGCGGCCTCAGCGTCTCATTAAACATTCCTTTCAAATGTATTATTTTATTCATTTCTTTTATAGGTTCCGTGAGCCCGTATGTTTCACTTTACGTGATAGCGAAGCAGAAGTTAATCGCAAAAGCACGTTCTCCTGAACGACGCTTGCACTGCACGAGCGCGCGTGCTAGGCAGGGACGCTGAAAGCTCGCAGCTCGCTCTTGTAGCCTCAGCTACGCTGGCATTTAGAAAGAAACGGAGTATAAAAAAAACTGTAGTTGGGAAGCGTAATAACGCACGTTCGAAACACGAGCCGAATATTCTATTTTGCTCGCCTGGAGCGCTGCTCACGACTTGAGAGCTACGGGACTATGGGCAAGTGAGCAACGCCACAGAGCAGAAATGGTTTTGTTGACCTCTGATAGATGGCGCCACTATGAATAATAATATTTCGATACGTTTGTTTATGTCAATACGACCAGATTTCTAAAAATAGGCCTTATGTTTATCAGATAACTGCACAACTTGCCAATGTTTTACACATTCCCCATTTAACGTCACGCTCACGTCACGTCCACGTCACGCCGGCCGCGCCCTATGGTTCCGACGGCCACCGCTGTGCGGCTGCAGGCCGGGAAAAAAACAGTTTTAAAATATCAAATCACTCAGTGAAATCGCAACCTTTCCGAGGAAAATTGGGTGTTTTCTGTCACTTAGGGTAAGGCACATAGGATAAAAATTACAGGCTGCGATTTCTTTCAACGTTAATATTTTTGCACAGCCCCTTTAAAAACTGCATTTCACGCATCACAAGAGTGTGGAGATAAAGGGCGCTGCCAATTTTATGCTTTCACTGAACATAAATACCTGAATTAAATATGAAACAACTATTCGCTAAATAACATTCGCAACTGCACAGATTTCTTCTTACGACGTGTAAGTTACAATACTATTTCAAATAATGGAAATACCCTTCTCTAGAGCAAGCAACACAGTCCTCAGACATTCTTCTTCAAGAATGCAAACTCCGAGAGCCAGAATTTTGACAAGGGCATAGGCTCCTTCCTGACGGTGAGTCACATACTAATTGTTACCTATATACACGAAAATGTGCTGCAAGTACGTTGTAACTTCACAACAGTAAACTGAAATAAAAGAGAACTATGAATGTGGGAAGAACACTTAGTATGTTAACATTACAGGTACTGACACATAAAGAAAAGAAAATGAAGTTTTGCACGTTATTCATGAACTGTGCGAGGTAGTCCTTACAAGATTTGGTTGTCGAAGCAAGAAACCGTGCTTTTAGATTATCAAACGTGTACACCTTGATAAATTAACATAAAGCTAATCTCCAATGCACCTAGTATGTCTTTAATAAAACACATGAAGGCCGGAATTAATCTAATTCCGCGGAAAGCTGGCCTTTTTTTTTTTTTTTGCTACGGGCGTTGAGGTGAATACGATTATAGGGTGCTTGTCAAAACCTTATATTAAATATATAGTCATTTTAAACAGCAAGTATTTTTAGATGTCAAACTGCCACAAAGAAAAAGCTAATATAATACTAAATTAACATTACATACTATGATGTGACAAAGATATTTTTTGTGTGTCCTTACTCTTTGTGAGGAGAGGAAATATAGTTCATGCAATGACAACAGGTGGGTAAATATAGATGCTCCATTCAAGCTCAAACTTCCAAAATCACTGTTCCCACATGCTTACAAGTATAGATGTGCAAATTCCAAAATTTTGAATGCAGATAAAATATATCCAAAATTCACTGCAAGTTGAATACACATACTGTAATTTCTAACACATAATGTGTTTAAGGGCCGGGATCCCCAAGAAAAGTTTGACGGAATGCCTCGAAAACCGTTACAAAATATGTAACACGTACACAGAGAACAATCTCTACAAAAGAACCAATAATTGAGAAGACATTATAGTATCTAATTCAGAAGAACAAAATTCCAAGTGCAACCCTATGGGAATCGACCACGACTCCATGATTATGAGCCCGGTGCTCTACCGCTGTGCCAAAGGAGTGACTTGTGTAGAGGAAACAATACATGTGGAGCTCGCGGGCTTCGCGGTTGTTGCTTCCCAGCACTGCACAGGGGCTTGGTGACAAGCGCACTGAACGTGGCTAACCTGCCGCGATTATGCAAAAGCATATGCTATGCAGCGACATCCTGACAACCAACGTTCATCATTCGTGCTTTCTTTTCTTTCTTTTTTTCTCTTTTGTCAAAGTTGAAGTTTGGAGAAACTATTCGATTTTCAATTCGAAAATATTCGGCCAAAACCACGATTCGCTTCGAATAAAAACCCACTATTCGAACATGCCTGCTGTATAACCAAAGAGAATGAAAATCAAATCGTGACTGCAAAGCCCGCCAGAAGCCCTAGAGAATTCCACGGAAACAAATTTTGTCTATACCAACTTCGTCCGTAAGATCAATGTGTTTGTTTAGTGGTTTGTCCGTGTGACCCAAACCTCGCTTGCTTTTATTCAAAAGCGAAAAACGTGCAGGCCTGTAAAAATTACGATTGGCTTTAGGATTGAAAGCAGTGGAGCAGTCTTTAAGATGTAATCAGAATACCTTCAAATGCATTGCTCATGCCTTTAGTTGATTTTACTGAACGTAATTAGTATATGGAAGATTAAATTCAAGGCAAGTATGAATCATGTATAAAATGTGAGTTAGAAAAATTATTTTCCTTTAAAGTGAGACCCTTATCAAAGAAGGTTTAAAAGAATCACTTTTATGTAACAGCAACATTAGTTAAAAGAAAAGAAGTGCTACTCTAAACTACACTGAAAACAGGGCTGCACAAAGCAGAATAACTAATATATAAACATATAATGCTTTATGAACATGTCTTATGTCCAATAAGTAGAATTCCGCATTTTCGGATAAACAGTCCGAAAAACACCGGCGGGTAAAATGTTTGTCAATTCGGATTTGTCCCATAACTCCAAATTTCTATGTTCCAATGCAAAAAAATGAAGAAAAAAAAAGAGAGACGGTAATAATATACAATTCAGTGTGGCCAATGCACAAAGTTAATATTCCTGAGCAAATTCCACCCCAATTTCCTTTCAAAATCTGAGATCATTGATAAAAGGGGTCTTACCGTTCATCTCGCCAAAGTTCATTACGGACAACAGGACATTGTACTTTAGAGTCAGGATAAAAAACACTGTTCCGGTTTAGAGCTTGGACCATAACTATGTGCTTTTTCGAGAAAGGATTGGTTGTGATTTTGTAACAGGGACAGCTATGAAACAGAGATTTCATAAAACAGGAAAAGGGGAGGGGGGGTTGTTGAAGCTTCCATATTCAGTTACCACTCCACCCCGCACAGCTACAGGGAAGGATGATGGAATAGGATGGCACCAAAAATGAGCGTCTCAGCGTCTACTTTCAGAAATTGTGATTTTAAGGTATCAACGTTTATTGCAAGTTTTTTCATGGCACACATTAGTATTGGTAATGGCAAGGGCACCAACACCAAATACAGCTGAAGAAATAGTATTTATTGCAAGTGCATTCTTTTGAATCTAGCACACGTTTACAGCCAACATATTATTTATTATTATTTGTAGAATAATAGGAAACTGCAAAATTAAACTCTGAATTTTGGAGATTTGTGAATCGAACGAAAATAAATTACGATAAATTTCAAATTTTTGGCAGAAAGAAACTCAGAAAAACACCCTCCGAATCTGATGACCATTAAACTCAGAAAACATGCAACCCTCCCAATAAGGCACAGATCGCTTGCTGGCAGCCTCTGTGAACTACTTTGTGTATTTGCAAAATGTGCTCTTAGAAAGAAACTTGCAATTCAGAACTGTGCTAAAAGATATTTTTGCAAGTTCGTTCTATTTCTTTCTTCACAGACTGTGAAGGTCAGATACAACAAAATCGCAGAAAATATCTCAATTTTTTGTCAGTATATTTAAGCCCATAGGCTAGTGCTACGGCAGCTAGCAAAGCTGAAAAAGGGCCTTCAAAAAATTGTGGGTCAATGGCGATATCAGCTGGACTTTTTTTTTCAATTTCACCCAGAGAATACAATGTATTAAAAAAGTCAGTATTGAGAACCCCATTTAAATGGCATTCAAAATGTACAATAGAGTATTAGCATGCTCATACAAAAAAAAAACTATACCTAGGATCTTTAACAAAATGCCACCCTTGCTTCTATGTCATAGCACCAAGAATCATAGAGTAATTATTATTTTTGTGTCATTGAACATTGATCTCAAATTCATGGCAGTGGCTTTGCTTACATTGTCATTACTGCCTTTAAATGGCTAATTTAAAAAAAAAAGCTTGCATTGAATTATTGTTTTAACTTACTGCATACTAATTTCTGTTTTCATAGGGCACACCATACAACTTTATTTAAAATAGAAAATTTTCACTAAAATAAAGATAGCTCTCACTTGGCCTCAAGATGTTCCTTGCTCTCATTATTACATCCTGGCTATCTGATCTGTCCATTCCGTGTTTTTTTTTTTTTTTTTTTCACTGTAGTATTGTTGAACAAACAACATCTGGAGGCCGAGTGAATGTTTACTTTATTTTGGTGCAAACTGCCGATTTTAAACGAAGTTTACACGTCCACAAAGAGGTGGTATGACTCGTCATATCACCTCTCTGTGGTCGTCAGACATGGTAGGGCACTCTTCCCTTACAAATAAGAGTTCCTGTATTTATTCATCAGCTAAAGTGAACTTCCACATTGAGGTCATGTTTTTTTCCCCTTGCTTGCAGACACCAATTCCTTTTTTCACATGGAATACAACCTTCCCTTGGTGAAAATTCGAAAGAAACAAAATAAGCTGAATGGGGCAAAGGAATAGTGGTAGTGCTAAAGACTCTTGATAAAATTCACTCGTGTTTCTTCAAATATACCGATAACCATTGTTGTGCAAACACAGAAAACACATGCCTCGAGCCAGTGTTTAGCCGCCGTTCACTTCCAAAGGCTGCTCATTCCAGTTCAAAGCACGCCAAAGCACGGTCCTCGTGCTTTGGCGCTTTTGACACTACTTGCAAAACAAATACGAACAGACCAAGGGGCTTTAGGTGGCACTGCAATCTGCCAGAGAGCGCACAAAACAGGCTACAGAACCAAAGCACAAGCCAGACTCGTAGTCAAACTTTCTGGTCTGCAAAAGAAGGCACGAGTGACACTCACGATTAATAGCCAAGGTGTTATGGGATGCGTAGCAGCTGACGTAGCCGTACGTAATCCTGGAAATATCTGAACCATTGCAGAACCTCGATCGAGAGAAAAAAGAGCGGCTGCTTGCCAAACTCCGTGAGATAGACCTGAGCGGCACCATCTTCGAAGGCAACATCAGGCGACCGCAAGCAGCCCGCCGTTTCTCAATGGACTCCCAGCGGTCCAACTTCACGGTCAAGTCACCCGATCTGGAGCCAAAGCAAACCCTCTACCAGAGAAGAATGTTTGGCAGCGAAGGCCACTCCACACAACTTCCAACGTCGTTTGCAGATAACTGGAGAGCGACACGACGGATGTCGGACATCCATCCTCGGATCGCGGGATCTGTCCTTGACAGCATTTTCGAGAAAGACTCTCTTTCCACGGAGCAAGGGCACGGCGCTGAAAATGCTTCGAGAAATGGCTGCCAGAAACTTCAGAAGACACTCACTGCAACCTTCGGGACGAGGGCAGATGTTTTTGAGACTGAAACGTACGTCTTCACAAAGGAGGAGGAGCCTTCCAGGGACTTGGAGCCCGCGCGTCTTCTACCGTGGGAGCGGTGAACTGTTGAAATGCTAGTCATACGCTAGAAGTAGTGTCACAATAACAGTGGTAGATCCTCCACCAAGATTAAATCAAAAGCATGATCACATTGATGGTAATCATACAGATGATTCTTTCTACCTCAACATCAATGATATCTTGACAGCATTTCAGCTTAGCGTCTAAAAGGTTTTCTTTGAGGTGTAGAAATCCCAGTAAACAAAGTGTTAAGAGAACAAGCAGATGCGTGCCTGTGTTGCGCTGGGATGGTAGTGTGCTGTCCTCTACCCCAGCACAAAAAGTTGGATGATGAAAATAGAATACCCAGCGCTTTACCCCACTACAACACTTACCCCGGCGAATAGGGTGTCTTTTTATTATGATTCGGATAAAATAAAACTGATTCCCGATTCGTTTCAATTCAATCCCTGCTTATTCACCCGGTCGACGCAAAACATGCAAGACCCCCTTTCGATCGAAGTCTTAAATCTAGTAATTGCTGACACTTCAGCGTCCCAAAAAATGAGGTATACACCTACGGATTACTATCCTTTGTATGTTCAATTTCGAGGACCCAAATGCGCATATTGCGTGATGAGCTTCTCAGCGAGCGATTTTTAATTTTTAAATAATTGTTGGTAAAACTTGGATAGAACAAATTAATGAACCGATTGAATTTGCCGGGCCATGTCTGACAGTTTAAAAAGTTATGAACATTTCTACGTTTCTCTCGAGCAGAAGTGGCGATGTAACAAACTTCTTTGCCACATATTCGATGCGGGAGGAGCTAAGCGTCAGTTGCTGACGACCATTTCCTTGTCAGCGACTGTTGTGTCACACTTGGAATAGAATCGTCGGTATCGGCAAGCTCAATGTACGTAAAACCAGTGTGCTGCGCCTTGGAACACAACTTTGCGCGCGTGCACAGCTAAGAAGACAGCACGTCATTTATTCTGGTGAATGCAAAACATTTTTCTACAGCAGCATCCACATATACGAAAAAACAAGAATCGGGGAGGCTGTGAATCACCCTAAGCCTAAGGCATGCTGCGCAAGCTGTAATGTTGAGCTTGGGGCTTGTTTTTGAACATTTCGAAGTTATTTTTTTTTAATAAAAAGCAACTTCACTTACAAAAACATCATACACGTTTCTTTTATAAATGAACCGTTTTTAACCGGCATAGATGCAAACTAGCATGCCACTCCGTGCTTTGACATAGAGCGTCGTCTGCTCTCATCCTACCAGCTCCGTCACAGGAGGGAGCCCGCGAGGTGGCGCCACCAAAACATGTCGTTGCCAATAGGCACCCTGAACAAACTGTGGCGCCCTCATTTTGGGTAGTACAAGCTCAGCTGACTGAGGCTCATACTACGTGTGGTACCTTCGCTAAACTTTTATCTTTTTGTGTAGCGCTGAAGAACGGAAGAAACACCTTTCGACGTGCAAAGTCGGTCAGATTCAACGCCGCAAGACAGTCGAAAGTACCAGATTCATGTCACCACCGCAAGGGTACGCGTCTCTTATCTCTGCGTGGTGACTTCAAAGCAACTGGCGTCTTGACGCTTTTTTTCTTTGGAACGCGTGAAATGGCGTCTCTTGGCTCACACTCTTAGGTCTTCTTAGCTTTGAGCTTTGCTTCGATGGTGCTCGAATTTTTGTTGTTTCTTAGTAATTTCCTCGTCATCTCGCGTTCTGCACCTGAGCAGGCACGCTTCTACATGTGTGGCAGTTTGAGACGCTCAAGTTCGTACTACCCAAAACAAGCCCTAGCGAGTTCCACAACCGTGTATAGAGAGGGTCTGGCCAATGGGAGGAGTTGGGGGGAGCCGGGGTGGAGCGGCGACAGCGGCAGCACAACCAGCAGTTTCAAAATAAGAATGTGCTGGGATGTCCTTAAAAAATTTGCGTGGCGCGACGCAGGCATCTTTGTTTTTTTTTTTTCTGAATGATGTTGAAGGTACATGAATGTATAATTATTAGAGATTGATGGAAAAGGAGAGTTTCGAGGTGTTGAGTGCGTTTACAGAGCCAGGAAAGGTGAGATGGACGAGAGAATCTTTCTGAAACAACAGGGCGCGACTGCGAATGTGGGGTGCACATTCGGGGTTTCGGTCAAAACTCCCACGGAGCTGAATCCTCATTTACCGCTCATTCACACCGGAAGCGGATCCGCGTTCGCAAAGCGGTTACGAACGCGGTTGTATAAAGATTCAGTACAATTGCACGCGCACTCGATCACATCAAGCGCGCGTGACATTTTCGTAACCGCTTTGCGAACGCGGATCCGCTACCGTGTGAATGAGCGGTTAGAGCGCGGCTCCTTGGCGCCTGTTTCCGCGTTTCACAGCGTCGGCGTAACCTCCTCGCTAAATTTAGCGGGAAATTGAATTGGTGTTGAAGTCAGGTGACGTCTATTTTCCCACAAAATCTAGCGAAGAAACTGAATATGTTTATGGGTGACGTCACTCGAAGATATGTGACGTCAATTTACCCGCTAAATTTAATGGGGAAACTGAAAAGACCATTTGCTATATCCCCAAAGCGCCCCGGCCCACGCTAAAAGAATCATGGGAACGATATTCCGCGATCGGTAATTTCGACCCTACCCTTGGTGACACAGCTTTTGAGCGTAGTTCGGAGTCACCCTGAACAAGCGCCTGATACACCCCAATGACCTGTCATATCGCTTTTAAAATTTCTCCTCAATGTCAGCGTTTTTGATACTGTGCATGCTGTCCACCCTTCAACCTGGATGGGATACAGAAATCTCTTACATTCTTATCATTCTCGTACAGCTTCAAAGACGCTAAAAATGCTATAAACAGCCCCACGGACTCCGAGCTAAATCCTGTTTTTTGTTGTTGTAAATTCTCGGCTTTTTAAGCAATTCCCGCTAAAAGAACAATCACGAGAATGATAATATTGTAGGAGATTTCTGCAGCTCAGCCAGGTTGAAGGATGGATCGCATGCACAGTATCAAAAATGTTGACATTGACAAAAAATTTTAAAAATGGTATGACAGATCCTTGGGGTATATCAGGCGCTTGTTCAGGCTGACTCCGAATTACGCTCAATAACTTTGTAACCATGGGATTCGTCAAAATTAGCGGTGACTAGGGAACTGAAGGAACACCGTTCCCATGATTTCTCGTGTGCGGCCCGGGGCGCTTAGGAATAGCTCACAAGGCGTTAATTTTTCAGCTGTATATAGCGGGGAAACTGTGGGAAGAGGATGAGAAGCATACCCTCCCCTCCTCCTCTTCCCCAAGACCTGCACTCTAATTTTGCATTACAAAAATTTATTAACCGCTTTTAGAGCGCAGCTCTTAGGCGCCTTTTTCCGGCTTGAGCGGCGTCGCCGTCGGCGTAACCGCGCGGTGCATTATGGGTAAATTTCCCCGCTAAACCTAGTGGAAAAATTTTCCCGCTAAATCTAGCGGAAAATATTTTCCCGCTAAATGTAGCGGAAAAAATTTCCCCGCTAAATCTAGCGGAAAAATTTCCCCGCTAAATCTAGCGGAAAATATTTTCCCGCTAAATGTAGCGGAAAAATTTCCCCGCTAAATCTAGCGGAAAAAATTTCCCCGCTAAATCTAGCGGAAAAACTTCCCCGCTAAATCTAGCGGAAAAAATTTCCCCGCTATATCTAGCGGAAAAAATTTCCCCGCTAAATCTAGCGGAAAAAATTTCCCCGCTAAAGAGCGGAAAAATTTCCCCGCTAAATCTAGCGGATAAATTTTCCCGCTAAATCTAGCGGAAAAATTTTCCCGCTAAATCTAGCGGAAAAAAATTCCCGCTAAATCTAGCGGAAAAAATTTCCCCGCTAAATTTAGCGAAAAAATTTCCCCGCTAAATCTAGCGGAAAAAATTTCCCCGCTAAATCTAGCGGAAAAAATTTCACCGCTAAATCTAGCGGAAAAAATTTCCCCGCTAAATTTAGCGGAAAAATTTCCCCGCTAAATCTAGCGGAAAAAATTTCCCCGCTAAATCTAGCGGAAAAAATTTCCCCGCTAAGTCTAGCGGAAAAAATTTCCCCGCTAAATCTAGCTGAAAACATTTCCCCGCTAAATCTAGCGGAAAAATTTCCCCGCTAAATCTAGCGGATAAATTTTCCCGCTAAATCTAGTGGAAAAATTTCGCCGCTAAATCTAGCGGAAAAAATTTCCCCGCTAAATCTAGCGGAAAAAATTTCCCCGCTAAATCTAGCGGAAAAAATTTCCCCGCTAGATTAAGCGGAAAAATTTCCCCGCTAAATCTAGCGGAAAAAATTTCCCCGCTAAATCTAGCGGAAAAATTTTGGTCACGTGACCCGGGGAGTCACGTGACACCCCGAGGTCACGTGACCTCTGAGGGGGGCACGTGTTTGCCCCCACGTGACCCCACCAAGGTCACGTGCCCTCGGGGGGTCACGTGACCCCCCCCCCCCCCCCGAGAACACGTGGCCCTCAGTACCCTCCCCTCCTCCTCCTCAAGAGCTGCGCTCCAATTCGGCGTTACAGGAAGTGGTAAACGGCTTCCACTTTTTTCTTTTCTTTTTTTATCATCCACTCCGTGATAGTTGCGGCAGCGGTCGCCACTGCGAGTGCAGTCAAAAGGAAGTTTGAGTGCGTTCTGAATATCACCGTGACGACGTCACGTGCGTTGCCCTTTCAAATATCGAAGAGTCGCAAATTTTAACTCTAGCGTTCTGGAACGGCATACCTGAATACGTCCTTACCTCGAAATTGTGATTGGAAGGTATTTGTTAAGCTCATCGCCTCAGGTAGGGGACTATTTGACGCTACTGGTTGGTCACACAAGCTGTCAATCGTCACGCCCAAGGTCATTAAAACAATTTCAGCCAATAAGGTGCCCTCATTTTCGCTATATTTTTACCAGTTAATGACCAAACTCTACATAAATGGCTGTGGCAAGCCCCTTTTTGCGGCGCCCCCTGAACAGCGCAGGAGGCCTATTGAGTCAGTTTCCAACAAAAAAAAAATGTATAATTTGATACAGTAATCACCTCTTCATGAAAACTTTGCATACTACAATATAGTTATTACAGAACTGCGGTCATCGTAGGTATGGCATCCAGTGGCAAAAAACAATAGCGTCCGAGC